TTATTTGCCAGGCAGCTACCTCCAACAAAATCTATGAATTTTACTCCTGGGACTGACTACTCTCTATGTTTACGTCATCATATGGCAACACACCTTTCTCCTGTCTCAATGAAGGCTTATTTCAGTTTCCAATCTTCTTTAATTGAATGGAACTACATGTCCAGGTATAAAAAACACAGGACACATCAATAATCCTCCAGTAGGCGCTACATAATCATCTATGTATATACACACTTATGTATCACAGTTCTCACTCTTAAATCAAACTGTGTTAACAGAGCACAGCAAACCAGAAATTTGCCAAAACATGTACATGTACACTTGGATTCTCAATGTGATGCTGAGCAAAAACCGTGAGCCATTTACATGACCTTGATTCCACCAAACTCCTTGTCTTACTTTTTTTTAAAAAAGGCTAGCATACTGCAAAGCAAAACAACAGACTAAAGAATTTCTGTTTCCAGCAATGCTTCTACCCCACACAGACCCAGAGGCATCTTTAGAAAATAAAATGGCAGTATTTCCTTGCATTCTAGTATGAGTGTGTTGTATCTGGCCATATCCATTATAAGCATTTTATGACAGTAACCTGCTCTCACAGTTATAAACATGTCTAACAGCCCCAAAAGGGTGAGGCCCCTGATCCAGTATAAATCTCACCATATGATTTAGTACATTATACAGACATGATTCAGTTAGCCTTGTGTAAGTGTGCAAACACTTCCACTATCTTTGGAATGCTATCCAAGAAGTTTTCATTTCATTATGGCTAACATAACATAAACTCAACTTGCAGGAAGAAAGTTCTGTGGAAATTAGTAAAGCCTCATTCATACTTACAAAACAGAAGCTGCTTCAATTGCTGTATTCATGCAGCACAATGAAATACTAAATAACCAACCTCTTATAGGCTAGAACATGCAAACTCATTCAGGTGGTTAATTTAAGATTCAGCATGAACCTAGAAAATTGTGTGGACTATACTATGGATAAACATATCAAGAAAATTGTGGGTAAACTTGAAAACACAGCCAATATTATATAATACTGTATCACTGTAGATGTATGTGCTAATTAAGCAAATGCATTAATGGAATCATTGATATAAGTTTTACTCACGCTCAAAAAAGATTTGTACATGTTTTCTAGTAGCGTGGAAATATATATTGTTGTTTATGCATCTACATGTATACAAGAGAGAGAAAAAAGTTTGCCACAAGAGGAAGTTTTAGGTTTTTCTACCTATTCCTGCACAGATCCTATCATACACTCCCAGGTGCTGTTAGTAGCTATACAGTAAGGCAAAGAGGACTTACCACAAGGAAAAAAACAGAAAGAAGGATCCACGAATGCTTTATTAAAAATGTAAGAAAAGTGTCTGGACTGCATTGCAGAAACTCATGGACCTTATTTCTAACTGTGTATGCTTATGATCAATCTGTAAACCACTCCGTTGTTCATTTTTCTACTTCCTGAAGAGGCTTAAGGGGAATCAAACACAGCCAATGAATTTCTTGGATGTTACATTTGCATTCAACTAAATCAATTCATGAGAACCACTAACAGGGATTCTTTAAATTTTATACACTGAATTTCTTGCTTTCAGCTGCATTTTCCTTGTCTAATTTCCTAATTCAACAGTACAAATCACTATATTTATCTTGAACTCCTCATAGCATCAATTTATATTTTGCACAATTAGGCCCATATTCACATTGTTTCCCTACACACATGGACCTATAGTATTTATATCATGCATGACTGTTTTCTTTAAGATACATGTTGTCACACATTCAGTTAAAGCATCCACAGTGGTTCTAGATGGTTTTCTTAGTTACAGTTGCCAGTATTACTTGGATTCAAATAACTACAATTTGTTTTAAGACATTCCAAAGTGATGAGGAGGTGAATCATCTACATGATAGAAATATTGACAAAGTTGAAAGAGCTATGGCACTCTACAATTTGTTAACTGCTGTTCTCATAATTCCTGCTCACCAACAATATTGATGTAAGTTGAAGCATCCAAAGTGACATGGGTTCCGTAGTCTGTTGGAAGGGCTTTATAACTGAGTATGTAAGGGGGATTAATTACTCTATCCCCAAAAAGGCATTAAAGCACTTACATAACAGTTTCTAATTAGAGTTATGGAAATTAAACCTTCAGAGATATTGTGACATTAAACCAACTAAACCAGTTTAGAATAAACACTTTCTATAATGAATTGCTGGAACTATTACTTGTACATATAAGATTTAAACAAAGAAAAATATAATAAAATAGCAATATCCCTACAATTAACAACCATGTATAAAGGTTAATAATAAGCTTGTTCTTGCCTTGATCTTCTCCTCTCAGATTTCTAATATGCTGCAAGGGTATTTCTATTCTGACATTTTAAGATGATACGTTCACTAAATTTAACTCGAGGTATAAATTAAAAAGAAATCATTGCAGTCTTCTATACTTCTCTCATGTAGATCCCCTTTAATAGTTTTATTACAGTGTAGTCCTTAAGGCTGTGCAAGGCTTTGGATTCAATTCTGAAAAGCTGCTTTGGAGTATGTGGGTCATAAGCATAGCAACAGTCTCCAACTCTTTAACGTGGCAGCATATTCTCCAGATCACAGAGCAGAGCAGCCATGAAATCCTGGAGAAACAATACAGCTGCTTTAAAGCATTTCAAACAGGTGCTACAATCACACTCATGCACACTCCAAAGCAGCTTTTTGGAACTGAACCTAAAACACTGCTCAGCTAAAACAGCCACTATATTCAAAATACAAACAAAAAATGAAATGTGCAAAACTAATTATATTAAAAATCTCATTTTAGACTGCCTATTTAATTTGGTTTTCACAATTAATTATTCTATAAACTATTATTTTTTACTTAGTAAAATTAGTTGTAACAAAAGCTATTATCTACAGGATTATTATCTAGCTACAAGGATTAAGTCTTTGCACATTTATTAAAAATAAAAACTACCTTCTATAAAACTTATTCTGTTGAACATGCATAGGATTGCTGGTTGCATACTAAATTATCAAGGGATTCCAAAACATTTTAGTTCTCCTAAGTAGGCAAAAAATCTCCCAACAGAGAATTCTCTGCATCTCACCAAATTACAGTTCTCAGAATGTTTAACAATAAATTCCTTTAATTTAATGGCAATTAAAATCATGCGAGAAGTCATTATACCATATAAAGTTCATTTAAATCCCTGCATACTGACCTGTGACTAAGCTTCAATGAAGCCCAGTGGGATTTGATATTGAATAAACATTCAGAAGTTTGCACTGTTAATGCAGTGTTCCATTATCACTTATTTTAGTTCCATTTATTTCAGTTATATTACAGAGCAGCAAACTCAGTTTTCCTACTCAGGACACCCAGTTCTGGTTCCTTGGACAAATTTATCTGAAAGTCCACTTGCTTGTAAACATGTCAGCTGAAATGTTACACATTTCACAGTACACTGAAATTACCTTAGATATATCCTTAAACATAATTGTGCTACTAATTCTCATAGCACCCATATAACTGGCAAATCAGTCTAGTACTATTAAGTGTTCTCTACCCCACATGTATATAAATCATAATAATTCCCTATGAATTTAATGAGAATAATTTTCCAGGAATATGGGGTTGTAAGTTCTTCCACTTTTTAAAAACTCAATCACTTCAGACAGGATATTATCCATGATTAAATTTTCAAGTAAGTGATTAAGTGAATTATTTACAAGTACAGTATATTTGCTACAGAATCTGTAATGCATTTCTGTATGGTTCTAATACAGGTACTGCCTGACTGGATTTTGGATTTTTTTCTTATAGACCTGCAGAGTTTTATCTTCTAGGGACAGGTATATGTAGTCACTATTGTTACCAATGTGTGATCTGTTTGTTACTCTGAAGTTTAACATTTCACAATGATATACATAGTTTATATTACAGAGCCAAGAGAAGACAAGGTTTCCTATATATTTAAGGCTCTTTCAGAACAATCCATTTATTCCTATTGAAAAGTAAGCCCTGTTAAATTCTAATTTTCTGCAGAAACGTTATTTAAAAAAAGTTTAAAATCTGCACTTCATATTCAGACAGAAAACTCACTGCTTTATCATTTATTCTTCCTCTCTAATGAGGTAAGGTTGCTTCCTGCCTTAGAGGGAATGTTGAAAGCTGGTGCCCACAGATTTAGCACTAACAGTAAACAATGGATTATTTGTAAGCACTTCAGCTGCAACAACATTTTCATAATTTTGTTGACTGGGAAGTTTTTCAAAAGGAAATTAAGCATCTTTACTTCCACTGACCTCACTGAATAGCTGAAGCATATTGGAGATAAATTAGGCTCTTTTGGAAATCAGCAGGAATTAAATGATATTTAAAAAGGAACTGGATCTGGATTCTGGGGCCTAAAAGCTTTGACAAGCATGTGTCTTATGCAAGCCCTAAGTATGACTTTATTAGGCTGGGCATACCTCTGTGGAGCATGCATTTTTAAAAAGAGCTTGTTTTATATAAATATAAAGCAAGGATATTTAGCAATCATGGATTTTACAACTAGTGAAAATTATAATGAGAGTTAAACTATCTAAAGCAAATATGCCATATGGAAAAAATAGTGTTCTAATCAATAACCTTATGCAATGTACAGTTACTAAAATTTATTTGCCTATTACTTCCTTTGCTGCATTACCTAGTTTACACACAGTACATGATTTAAGGAAAGCAAATCTGTACTCATTTTTAACACTTCAATTTGTTTCTTGTTATTACAACTTCTTCCTAGGTCATGGAATGTGATGTAAAGTTAAATGCCACTTGACATGCCCATGTCCCTGTAATTAGAAACTACTTTGTTTTGATAAGCACTCTCTCAGAAATGGGTTTTCATGTGGATTTGCCCCCCATTGCTTAACACCAGACAAAGCATTTCAAACGCTGACAAGTGTCTGGGTAACCTAGTGAAAACAGAACAGGCAGCACTTACCTTTATCCCTTGGTGCTGTGTGGTTAAGGTTAATTTGGATTCGTCCAGAAGCAGAACTTCACAATAAAATTCCTCAGGCACTGCACAGAAACAGCCCATGGCTGCTCCAGTGTCTTGATGTCAGAGTGCAAATGATAAAAAAAGAGATGAATGTAACTTCAAGCACAGCAAGGGCGGAACCAAATAACTCAGTCTTGATAGGCAATTTTTATTTGACTCAGGTCAAAGGTGGAGAAGAAAAGCAGAGTAGTCTTTGTCTTCGAGGAGCTAATAAAGAGGGTAGCTTACACCAAAGGTTAGGTCTTCATCAGGCATCCTGCAAAAAGAAAAAAGAAAAAAAGCCAAAATTCCTTACTGTCTTGTAAGTGAGGAAAAAAAAAACTATACACTGCCAAGCTGTAAGAGTGAAATCAAAAGAGTCAAAAGTGAAGTTGTCAGAGGTAAGTCCATTACAAAGTTTCACACACTCCACAGCCCCATGGGCTTCTTTGTTCACAGTTCAGACAGAAGAAACCTTTGGCCTTCGAAGCACATGAGTCCTGTAGGTAAGCAGCTAGTCAGCGAGCCCGCTCTGGATACCAATGCAAGGCAACCGCAAGAGAAGCGGGTCATCCTTCAAGGCCTACCAGGAGCCGAGCCTTTCAGCGCAGAAGAACTTGAGAAAAGCGCCCGGGCCGGGAAGCCCCACAACGCCGGGCGCCCCAGCGCGGCTCCTCCAAGCCGCGTCCCCTGGATTAATGATTACCCGCGTTCCCCTCCCCCTCCTGCCCACCCTCGGGAATTGCTCTTTTGTATGCCGAGAGAAAAGGAAGGGTCTGTGCAGAGGGGAAACCGCCCCTGCCTTCAGCGCGCAAACCCTGCCCCCCGCCCTTTCCTACCCGAATTAGGGGGACACGAGGGTTACCTGGAATAGCGAAAAAGCCGAGCCAAGGCGCTCCCGCTGACAGGGCGTGAAGAGGCGGGCCGGCAGCTCCGGACCGCTCACAGCTGTGGCTAAAGCACCACCAGCTTGCGCTTTCTAGTCAGACGCGGCGTGTCTACCTCGGACACATACGCCCTTCTCTCCGCGGCGCCGAAATCTCGGGGGGGGGTAGGGGACCGGTACCGGCGTCCTACTTGTCCGTT